CAGGCTGCCTGGAAGCTGCCAAAACTGAGGGTTGGGTTGTCACCATCTAAGTTGGAGGAGCTCATTACCTCTGGTGTGCCAATCTGATAGCACCTGTGGGAGACACTTTTGCGTCCCCTTTCTCCATAGGGGACCCTACAGAAGACCATACTCCCTAGAGCCTCCCAGCAACTCCTGTCTCCTGAAGAGTGGGGGCCCGCAGGGTTGCAGTGCCCCCTGCCACACACCTCCCTATTTGCAGCCTTCTAGGGCCTGCTCTTGCGCTGTCACACACACTACCCCAGGGGCTGCTAGCAGCTGCTGTGTTTGCAATCATGTCCTCCCTGTCTCCACTCTGAAGCCCCTGAAGCCTGTCTGGCTATGGCTTGCCTCTGGCTCCTTTCTCCTTGTTCCAAAATAGCAGCACTTGCCACATGTGGGTGCGCTGACAAGGAAGCCTCTGCTCCAGTCCCTAGCAGGGACTTCCTGACTCTCAAGGTCCCCTTGAGGCCACAGGAAAGTAACTCCAGTCAGAAACAGCATAGTTAGGGAACAGATGTGCATGTTTTGGGCTTGTGTGGGCCCCTCTCCCTCCCTACAGGGTTGCTTCCTGGTGGCAATTCCCAGATAACTGTGCCTCTTTCCCCACCGGCTCCAAACTGCAAGGATGGGCTGAGTCACTGCCGCCCCCTGGTGCCCAGCTTGTTCTTGTCTCTCACCTGCACCCCTGCACCTGTGTGCACAAGTGAGACCATCATCTCCCCACCTGTCACCTGATGCCCTGCATCAGCTTTCTCTTTGTCCCTTTGTGAGCACTACAGTGGAGAGAGGCAGCTCTGTTTGCCCCTCCCCAGGAGGCTGGTACCAGCTGCTGGGTGAGCTGCAGGGCCCCCAGCTAGTACTGCAGCAGTTTGTCTCTGTGAGGACTCAGACCTTTCCCTTTCCCTGCCTCTCTGCCCCAGAGGCCCCTGCAGACCCCCTGCCCCTCAGGCCAGTGAAGGCAAAGGAGAAAAGAGCTGGGTTCTATATTCAGAGCAGGACAGGCTTGGGTTTATGGACCAGTCTGCCACCTTCTGGCTCCACGACATAAGTACGTATCTGCTTGCCCTCTCTGGCTTGCTTCCCTTATAAAATGGAGATGGAATCCTGCCATTCTTACAGGAGGGAAGAGCTGGCCAAGTGACATTGTTTGAGGAAAGTGCTAGTGTCCTGCCTCACACACATACACACACAGACTGCCTTCCTCCATTGTGTCTCCACTGACTGAGAGCCAGAACTGTGCCATTAGTGCCAGCTGCTTCCTGGATGTCCTAATGTACTTTATAGCCTGAGACCCTGTGGATGTCCCTTTCAGAAAAGGAAAGAGGGTGCTGTGTTCATTGTCACGGCTCGGCAGGACATGGACCAGAACATGCATCTTAGTTGAAGTCATCACCTTCGCACATCCGCTCACAGCCTGACTTGCTTTTGGACACACACATGCACACCAGCCTTCCCTCCTCTCCGGCAGTCACTTATTCCAGCCCCTGCTCAAGATGGAGTTCAAAAAGTTGGATTTGAGTTGCGTGAACACACCCAGGATGGCCCTCATCCGTTGTCTCCCCACACACACACCTACACACTACATGCCACATGTGTGACCTCCCTGGCTCAGCAGATACTTATGGTTTCTGTCCTGGCACTCAGTAGGGACCGCCATCCAGGGGAAGAAAACATGACAGGAGAGCATGTTGGTACATGAGCCAAGTACTGCCCTGGGGAGGGACCCGTGCTGACTCTAACCCCCACAGGGACCCTGGAGCTGGTCACATGGTGACCACTGCTGGGGCTGGGGAGTGATCACAATCAGCACTTCGCTCACAGGCTGAGGGTGAGTTGGGAGCCAGGATCCCCTCAGGCAGGCTGGCCACAGGTAAACACCTTCACAAGACCCAGGCCTCAGCACAGAGGAGCTAAGCTGTGAAGCCACCGAGGGTCTCGGAGTGCATGGAGGGAGGCCACAAAGTCTCCAGCCTCTCATTGCTTAGGGCTGTCACTTCACTCCTGCACCTCCTGCCATTGGAACTTGGCCCCAGAGTGCCCAAGCCTCCCATGAGCCTCTGCGCTTCGGGTCACTGTCTTATTCCAGCTGCCAGTCAACAGAATGCCAGAGCTAGGTCCCCTCCTGGGACAAGCTATCACGGCCACTCTGTCTGTCTCCTTTGCCCCCGTGGTGTGGATCAGGTCATCCCCACATGGTGCTTACAGGAGCCCAGTCCTGCCATGTCTACTTGATCTTGGCTGGGAAGTAGGGGTCTTGCTGCCATGTTCCCCATCCCAAGATCCACCCCTTTAAGAGTTGTCAGTGACATTGCCTGGAAACCATCACTGACGGCTCCCCTGCCTGGGGCACTGGGTGCCACAGGGTCTTTCCCATATGGACCAGCACGGCTCATCTGGACAGTAGTCGGGCATGGTCTGGTGGACAGGGGGCTGGCCTGCAGTTAGACCCGCCACGTGCTCCCTGTGCCACACTAGGCTTGGCCCCTTCTCTGAGCGGGTGCTGAGGCGACACAGCGCTGCATGTGCAGTGGCTTACAGAGCACCTCCCGCATGGCTGCTGCTCAGCACACCGGGAGCCTCGCTGTGACCCAAACGCCTCCCATGCGTGCTCTTTCCAGCTGCAGCCCAGAGCTGCACTGGCCATCCATCTGAGCAGTGGCCTGGGGTCACGGGCTTCCACCTGAAGATCCCACACTGCCTGCCTGGCTCATTGACTTGTTTCCAGTGTGTGGACAGAGCCCATGGGACTGCCCAGCCCAAGTGGCTGCACAAGGCTTTAGAAGTCGGTGGGCAGAATGACTGAGGAGTGTGGTCTCTACCATCCCCACACCTTCACAGGGCTTACCCTTGGTCACGTGGCCACAATACCACAAAGGAACAAACGTGTAGGGCCATCCTGGAGCCAGCTCAGCTTGTGACCTTGAGCAAGTCATGGAAACTCCTCCCTTGTGCTTCAGTTTCTTCCTGTCTGAAGCAGAGATGAGGCGTCCTCACTCCATGGGAGCATGCAGAAGGTTGGCACGGGGAGCACACAGGGCTCCCGGCATGGACCTGCTCCTGAACCTCAGCCTCCTTAGCAGCCGCAGAACTGGACGATCACATTTTGAGATGCCGCCACTTTTCTCTGTAAACCCATGAATAAAATGAGTACTGATAACTACGTGATGATTAATACCGTCGTTATCAAGCCACCAGCCCTTTCCTGGATCGCCTGCAGTGACATGCTAGGTTGGCATGTGCTGATGATGCTGGAAGAAGACCAAAGTCAGGTGCAGCTGGGCCCTTCCCCTGCCCCTGCCCCTTTACTGTGTCTTCCCCACCAGAAAGTGTCTAAGGAAACGCAAGATGCAGTTGTCATTCTTGTCTCCCAGTTGCTCTGGGGTTGCTTCCTCTCCCTTCCTTCTCTGAGATTTCTGATGCTTCTGTGCCCAGCTCAGTTTCCTCTCCTGTGAGCTGAGGGGCACCTGTGACCTGTGGGTGGGGTGGACACTGCCGGACTAGAAGCCCCCATACCGCAATACTGGGACTTGGGCTGGGAAAGTGAGCTGGCAGGACTCAGAACAGCCAGGTACTCAGCTCAGGCCGGCTCCAGTCCATGCCCACACACTGGCCATTCCTTATCAGGGCCTGTTCCACAGGGGTCCTGTTTGCATTTCGCAGGTGGGAAAACCACGGCGTGAAGGGAATGGCTGGTGGGAGGGTGGGTAGGCTGGGGCTGCAGCTTACTTTTCTCTCTTTTTTCTCCTCTTTTAACAGGATCTCCCCGTGTAACCCAGACTGGCCACCAATTCATAGTCCTCCTGCCTCCACCTCCTCAGTGCCGGGTTTATAGGCAGGAACCACCACACCTAGCTCCTCTTTATTTCCTAGTGCCCCTCGTCCTTCACCACCCACCCATTCTTGGAATGAATATGTTTTGGTTTTGGTGCTGGGGTTGGAACCCAGGGCCTTTGAGCATGCTGTACCACTGAGCTGCACTTCCCATGGTTTTTTGAGACAGAGTCTCCGTGTGTAGACCAGGCTGGCCTCACACCCTCCATCCACCAGCCTCCTGAGTGCTGAGATTACAGCTGAGGCAGCTTGAGTCCCCAGTCTCCAGGGCCGCCTTCCGAGGCAGGGCCTGCACCTGTCCCCACCAGAGCCTGGGACCACCAAGTGCATGGCCTTTGTCAGAATGCTCCTTCCATGTGCAGGAGGGTGACCAGCCCCTAGGAGGGCTGTGGATCACCTGTAGCTGTGTCAGCTCCACCCCAGGAGGAGGTGGGCGGGTGGTTCCCAGCTCAGGTGGGGCTGATGCTGGCCTCTTTCTTCTGCTCACCAGCACAGGGGTGAACTTTGTGGAGCCTGGTGTTGCACTGTGCAGGCCCAATCCAGAGCCAAGTAGAGCCCGTGTGCAGGTGTCTGCCTGCCAGTCCTTTTTGTGCCTCTTTACTGTGCCACTTGGCCTTGGGAACCATGGGGGTGTGTTTAACGATCAGTGGGTTTCAGGAGGGAGAGTCTGACAGACACATGGCCTTGTAGTTGAGATTGGAATTCGAGTCCCCACTCCACTGTGTACTAGGTGGGCCAGGTTCTTCTTCGCTCTCATGGGGTGAAAGAGGGGGTACATTCTCTCAGCAAAAAGTACAGCCTGGTACAGTGCTGTGCTCCTTAGATCCCAGGAGGCTAGAGGATCCGCCCAGGCTACATAGCCAGTGAGACCCTTCCTCCAATAATTTTAAATTTAAAAAAGTCAAATACCTGTGCTGAGAGCAGTGGTGGGGACATGGGGGTCTCCCAAGCATGGAGGAGGCAGCTGTTCATGTGTGCTGTTCGTGTGATGTGCTGGGATGCTGGCTTGGGGTGGGGATGCCCAGGGCACCTTCCCTGGGGCACCAGTGCTCAGCAAGGGGCCTGGGAGGGAGGACCAGCCTCTACCGGTGCTGTTGGACAGGGTGTGGAAGGGACAGAGTCACAGCCTGCTTGTCCTCTGCCCGCAGCCCAGAACGTGACTGTGGATGAGGTGATCAGCGCCTACCGGCAGGCCTGCCAAAAACTCAACTGCAGACAGATCCCCAAGCTCCTCAGGCAGCTGCAGGTACCGTGGGGCCAGGCGGGGCAGGGGCATGGCCTGGCCTAGCCACCCACCCAGGGACTCCTGAGTGCAACTGCAAACCCTCCGTTCACAGACACTTCAACAGTCCATTGTTACAGGAAGTGAGGCATTCCAGTGTCTGTCACATTGGTCAGCCCCAAAACAAATTCTCTTCCCCAAAGGAAAGCCATGTATAGGATTCCTGTCAATCAGATTCTAATTGTATACCTGAATGACAGAAACCATATCTATTCTTTGACTTGTAAAAGTTCAAGTACAAATCTATGTCTCTTCTCTTGCTGAGTCCCTCCCCAGGAGAGACCCCGCGCTGATGGTCCTCTGGTCCTCGGCCTGTGGCATGCATTTGTAGGAAGGGAGGTGATGTGTTCAGAGGGATGCTATCACCAGGGCATGGTCTGTTTACTCACTGTGCCAGCAGCGGCTCCCCACAGCTTGTTCCCTTGGGTGTCTTCCTGCGCCCACCCAGCCTGTGCCTGCCCTCTGATGAGTCCAGGGTGTCCTTGGTGTCCTGGGTGTAGTGTTCCTGTCCCAGCCAGCTCTGTGGGAAGTAGCCTATATGTCAACCTCTCGGTGCACCAGACTGGGGACTTCCATGGGATTCCAGAAGGTGGCGCTGTCAGATCCAGGAAACAGAGCTGCCCCTTTGTGGGGCTGAGTGAGGGCGAGGGGCAGACAGCTTTTCTGCCCAGGTGTGTTGGGAAGGCTGGCCTTAGCCTCTCCCCACTGTGGGCTTCATCACAGTACCACCTTTTGGGAGGAGCAGAGCTGGTCATGCCCCACTGTCCCCACTGTGGGGCCAGCCCAGCTTCTTGGGGTGTCTCTGCCCTCACCACTGCCCACCCTGCTTTCCTAGGAGTTCACGGACCTTGAGCAACGCATTGACTGCCTGGACCTGAAAGGTATGTGTCCGCTGGGACACAACCCCAGGGGCCGCGGGCAGGTTGGGGCCTGGGGGTAGGCCAAGGGCAGGGTGTGAGCCTGTGGTCTGGGAGGCAAGGAGTCCCCAGCTCCTCAGGGTGCTTTCTGCACATGTGCAGTCTGGGACACGTGGTCACTGCGTCCTTCTAGGGGAGAAGCTCGACTACAAGGCCTGTGAGGCCCTGGAGGAGGTCTTCAAGAGGCTGCAGTTCAGGGTGGTGGACCTGGAGCAGACCAGCCTGGATGAAGACGTGAGCAGCCCCGGGCTCCCAGACCAGAGGCTTGGGTGGGGAGGGGACGCCCTAGACAAAGGTGTGGCCTGAAGAGCTGGGCAAGAGGATGTGCGGCCACTGGAGCCTCCTGAACAGGCTCCCGTCCTGGACGTCAGTCACAGTGTCCAAGGGCCTAGAGACATTTGGAAGCTGTGTCCTCAGTAAGCTGTGGGTCGGAGGGACCTGGGCGGCCCCAGGGGAGGTGACTTGGAGAGAGCACACCAGCACACCAGTCAGGACTCAGTGAGTGACAGAAAACAGGCTGGCATGAGCAGAAAGGGAAAGAGTGGCTCTGTGTTCCAGAGTGTGGGTTCACTCCCTGTCCAGAATCCCTCATATTTTTAATGGACCTTGTGGCAGGCCTGGCCTGGCCACCAGGCCTGACACTGAACCCCCATGTCCGTCCCCAGGGTGCCTCAGCCCTCTTCGACATGATCGAGTACTATGAGTCAGCCACTCACCTCAACATCTCCTTCAACAAGCACATCGGCACCCGGGGCTGGCAGGCCGCCGCCCACATGATGCGCAAGGTAGGGCCACGCCCCCCCCAGCCCCCATACCCCCACCCACACCCACACCCCCCCCACACACACACCACACACACACCACACACACCACACACACACACACACACACACACACCACACACACACCACACACACACCACACACACCACACACACCACACACACACACACACACCACACACACCACACACACCCCACACACACACACACACACACACCACACACACACACACACACACCACACACACCACACACACCCCACACACACACACACACACACACACCACACACACACCACACACACCACACACACACACCCCACACACACACACCCCACACACACACACCACACACACACCACACACACACACACACACACACCCCACACACCACACACACACACCACACCACCACACACACACACACACACACACCACACCACACACACACCACACACACACACCACACACACCACACACACACACACACACACCACACACACCACACACACACACACACACACCACACACACCACACACACACACACACCACACACACCACACACACCCACACACCACACACACCCCACACACACCACACACACCACACACACCACACACACACACACACACCCCACACACACCACACACACACACCACACACACCACACACACACACACACACCACACACACACCACACACACACACACACACACACCACACACACCACACACACCACACACACACCCCACACACACCACACACACACACACCACACACACACACCACACACACCACACACACACCACACCACACACACACACCACACACACACACACCACACACACCACACACACCACACACACACACACACCACACACACACACACACACACCCCACACACACACCACACACACACACCACACACACACACCACACACACCACACCACACACACACCACACACACACACCACACACACACACACCACACACACACACACACACCCCACACACCACACACACACACCACACACACCACACACACACCACACACACACACCACACACACCACACACACCACACACACACACCACACACACCACACACACACACACACACACACCCACACACCACACACACACACACACACCACACACACCACACACACACACACACACCACACACACCACCACACACACACACACCACACACACCACACACACCCCACACACCACACACACCCCACACACACCTCACACCACACACACACCACACACACACACACACCCCACACACACCACACACACACACCACACACACACCACACACACAATACACACACACCACACACACACCACACACACACACACACACCACACACACCACACACACCACACACACACCCCACACACCACACACACCCCCACACACCACCACACACACACACCACACACACACACCACACACCACACACACACACACACCACACACACCACACACACACACCACACACCACACACCACACACACCCCACACACACCACACACACACACACACACACACACACCACACACACCACACACACACCACACACACACACACACACACCACACACCACACACACACACACACACACACACCACACACACCACACACACCACACACACCCCACACACACACACACACACACCACACACACACACACACACACACACCACACACACACACACCCACCACACACCCACCACACACACCCACACACCACACACACCCCACCCACACACCACGCACACACCCCACACACACACTCCTGCTCAGCGGGACCCCTCGCAGACACAGATGGGAGGCTAGGCTGGGGAGGGGATGGGCTGTCTGGGAGGCTCCTTGCCACAGGAATTGGGAGCCTATCCCTGGAGCCCAGGCTGTGAAACCGAATGCCAGTGGCCTTGCCACTGGCTGGGATGTGGGGCAGCAGGCCCAGGCCTGACCTGGCCCGACCCCCCAGACAAGCTGCCTGCAGTGCCTGGACGCCCGCAGCACGCCCCTGCTGGACCACTCGGCCCCGTTCGTGGCGCGCGCCCTGCGCATCCGCAGCAGCCTGGCGGTGCTGCATCTGGAGAATGCCAGCCTGTCGGGGCGGCCCCTCGTGCTGCTCGGTGAGCTGGGGTCCCCCATCCCCAGGAGGCCCCGTAGCCTGCTGCCCGGCTGGGCCACTCAGGAGCAGCCTAGCCAGTTACCCCCAACCCACCCCCAGCCACAGCACTGAAGATGAACGTGAACCTGCGGGAGCTGTACCTGGCCGACAACAAACTCAACGGGCTGCAGGACTCAGCGCACCTGGGCAACCTGCTCAAGTTCAACTGCTCACTGCAGATCCTGGATCTTCGCAACAACCACGTGCTGGACTCAGGTGCGCACCAGCCCCGGCGCTTGGAGGGCGGGGGAGGGCTTGAGCAACTAATCCCAGTGATTTGGGCCTGAAGAGCCTGAGGGGCAGAGGGGCCGCACACCCCTCTGAGGAACTGGGTGCTGAGAACTGAACCAGCCACTTTGGAAGCCTGGAAAGGAGGCCATGGGACAGCATGGGAGAGGCCAACAGGGCTTGGATGTCTGATACTGGGGGAACCCCAGTGCGCAGAGGGTGAGGAGAGGGAGGTGCATTCAGCAGGACAGGCTCTGGCTCTACTCTGGAGGAGCAGTGATGGCCTGAGTCCCCTGGCTTTATGTAAGAAAGATTGGGGGTGGTGCCAGGCCCAGCCAGGAGGAAGAGAAACGAGAGGAGTGAAATGCCCAGGGTGCCAGACAGTGAGATGAACAGGCCCTGAGATGGGGCCGGCCGGCTGCCCATTGAGCAAAGACCTTCAGTGCCTGGGGGAGGGGGGCATCCCTGCCCCCCAAAACATTAGGGCCAGGGGGCCAAAACTTGTGGACGTGGCAGGCCACGTGAGGAGGATCACAGGCATCTTTGGGGACACACCCAGTCCACAGACAGGGCTGTGACATCAGGCTTTCTCTAGGTCTGGCCTACATCTGTGAGGGTCTCAAGGAGCAGAGGAAGGGGCTTGCGACCCTGGTGCTGTGGAACAACCAGCTCACGCACACGGGCATGGCCTTCCTGGGCATGACACTGGTGAGTCCCTACCACGGCCGACAGCGGTCCCCAGCCCAGCTGGCTCCCCGCTTGCTCATCCAGCAGTGAGCGGAGCTGGCCGCCTTTTAACACCTCTGGCCTCACGTCTGGCTTCTGCACCCTGCGATTCTCTAATCACCTTGCACAACAGACTGGAACATTTTCCTAAAAGTTAATGTTTCCGGAAGCCTAGTAAGTTTTCAGTCTTCTTACTACCAGTACATACAGGAAGCAAGCAGGTGCAGAGACTCCCAGGGCAGGGCCTGGTGTACCCAGCACCCAACTCACAGTCCCTGCGTGCAGGCTTCCTCAGGGTCTCTTAGGCCACTTGGGGGTCAGGCCAAGCCCACGGGCCAGCCTCAGCTCGGGCATACATGTTCTGATGAGGGTGGGGCCAGGCTGAGGGTGTGGCAACCAACTGGACACTTGGAGACCGGGGCGTGGACAGGGACGACAACATGGCACAACCTCAAACACCTGAGGGACTCGACTTTTCCCGCCCGTGGTTGGGCAGGATTGTGCCATCACTGACAGGTGCACTGAGAAGAGCGCACATTTGGTGCTGTGTCCGGCCTCTTTCCTGACTCGGCCTTCCAGGCCTCTCCTCCGCCTGTGGACTCCCACCTGACCCTCACGCCCATCTCCTCCAGCCTCATACACAGAGCCTGGAGACGCTGAACCTGGGCCACAACCCCATCGGGAATGAGGGCGTGCGCAACCTCAAGAACGGGCTGATCGGCAACCGCAGCGTGGTGCGCCTCGGCCTGGCCTCCACCAAGCTCACGTGCGAGGGTAGGGTGCGGGCTGGGGTGCGGCGGGGCCAACCAGGCTCAGAGGGATGGCCAGCCGGGCGTGGGGCCCGTGGCCAGCCCCTGCGGTACCCTCCCAGGCGCGGTGGCGGTGGCAGAGTTCATCGCCGAGTGCCCCCGCCTCCTGAGACTGGACCTGCGGGAGAACGAGATCAAGACGGGCGGGCTCATGGCACTGTCGTTGGCCCTCAAGGTGAACCACTCCCTGCTGCGCATGGACCTCGACCGTGAGCCCAAGAAGGAGGCGGTGAGCGGGGCTCTTGTGGCCTGGCGCAGGGCCAAGTGGGTGGAAGGCCGGTGACCATGGGCGCTAGCCAGGCTCCACTGCCCACAGGTGAAGAGCTTCATCGAGACGCAGAAGGCGCTGCTGACCGAGATCCAGAACGGCTGCAAGCGCAACTTCTTGCTGGCGCGGGAGCGGGAGTGCAAGGAGAAGGAGCAGCAGCTGCAGCCGTCGACTTCCATGCCCGAGATCACCATCACCGAGCCTCAGCCTCTCGAGGAGCCTGGGGATGTGCCCACTGCAGGGGCGCAGAATGGGGCTGCACGTCCCGGGCCAGCCCCAGACTCGGACTCGGACTCTGAGGAGGACTCTGAGGAGGATGAAAAGGCCGAGAACGTGGAGGAGGAGGACGAGGAGGATGGGCAGACGGATGAGGCCAGCAGTGACCAGGCCCCCTGCCCTGCCCTAGTTCCCCCCACGGACTCCCTGAGCCCTGGGGACAGGAACCCCCCAGGCAGGCCTTCCTCACCCACTGAGCAGCGTATTTCGGTGTCTAGCCCAGGGCGGGGTCACAAAGTGTTTGTGGTGACCCGAGTGGAGAGTCCACCTGAGAGGGCAGAGCCCCCCATTCTTCCCACCTTTGTCTCCCCAGCCCCACCTTCCCTTCCCTCCCCACCCACCTCACCCATCCTATCGCCAGCTCAGCCCCTTGACACGCAGGATCCAGGGTCACCTGAACCTCAACCTCAGCTGGAGTCACCTCAGTCAGGGCCACTGCTACCCAACGGCCTGAAGCCTGAGTTTGCCCTGGCACTGCCCCCAGAGCCACCCCCGGGGCTGGAGGCCAAGGGGGGCAGTTGCAGCCTGGAGCACGGTGAGAGGCTTGGGGACCCAGGCAAGCTTAGCCCATCGGTGCCTCTCTTTCCCCTTCTTTAACCTGGCCCATGAAGGGACAGGGACAAGTGGGATGTGGTTCTCAGCTCTCACCCTGTGTCCCAGAGCTCTCCCATGGGTGGGGCCAGTGAGATTTGTGGCTTTGGGGCCCTCAGCTGGGCAGGGCTGGCCCACGGAGGCTGCTGTGCACCTGCCCTGGCTACTGGCTGACCAAGCCATCCCACCTGCCACCCACAGAGCTGCACTGCCCCCAGGATGACAGGGAGCTGGAGAAGCTGCTTCTGGAGGCTAGTCAGGAGGCCGCACAGGAGACACTGTGACACTTAAGTGGGTGACAGCTGCTGCTACTGGAGGATGGGGGGGCACGGTGAGAGTCCCTGCTCTGACAGCCCTCCCCATCTCTGTCCCTCAGCTCCTTCGATGACCCAAGGCCAGAGCCATGAGAACCTTTTCCCTCCCCCAGCCCTCCAAGGCCCAGGATGCCAGAGGCAGGGGCGTCCCAGCCGGGCTTGTCACAGCAGCTACAGCGGTGCTGGTGCTGTGGAGTGGACTCAACACTTCTATTTATGTGTCTGCAGCCGACACTCAGACTCGGGGCTGGGGGCATGGGAGGAGGAGGAAAGCTCCAAGGTCACCTGGCACAAGACCCCCCACTCCCCCACCCCCCATTCTGGAGGGCCCACTGGAGCAGGCCTGCCCTGTTGAAGGCAGAAGTCCAGGGTGGGAGTGGGTGGCCCCCAGCCCCGCACAGAAGTAGGCAGGTGGCTGGGGGTTGGTGAGCGGCAGTGGTGGACAGCACCAGAGGCCCTGAGAGGTTGGCCTGGTGGGCTGGGGCTGGTGCAGCGGGTTAGAGCTTTCTTTTTCGTAAGTGCAATAAACCTGTCAGGGAGCTGGGGCACGCAGCAGTGGGTTCTGGGGACCCTGCCACCCAGGCCACTTGAGGCTGTGCCCTGGGAGGCACTACAACTGTGGGTGGTGGGTGGCGTGGGTGAGGGGCAGGGGCTGGGGAGGGGCGACTCCTGTCGGTGCAGCTGTGTTCACACCTTTTCTAATAAACTGGGGCTGGGTTCACCACTTGCCCTCTGCTTGGTACTGATCCCAGGTGCTCCTGCAAGGGGCTGGGGCAAGGGCAGGGTGGGCACAGCCTCTGTGGCCCCTGGTTGTGGAGCACTTCCCCACTGGCTGGATGCCAGTGGTCCCCCATCCTCCCACGTCCACGCGCACCATCTCCCACACAGCCATCCCCGTTGTGCTCCCCTTTCTTTCCAGGAGCGGCCTGAGGGTTTCCCCACCCCGCTTCAGGTCTCCAGGGTGCTGGGTACAGGGCTTGCCCTGCCCATGTTCGTCCAGAGCCCACAGCCATACTGCATCAGGCCACTTGTCCCGTTACCAACCAGCTGCAGCGGGAGGTCCGAGAGCATTTCTGGGAAGTCTTTACCCCATGGAACCTGGAGAACCGCCCGCTGGTGTCCTGTGTGGCGCAGGTGGCTGGCGTGGCTAGAGGTCGCTGCTCAGAGCCCCTGTGTCCTTTGGCTCCTCACAAGCCCAAACAGTCCTCTCCCAGAGGCTTATTTAAGGGCTATAGGTTTGCACTTTGGTCACTTGGAACTACAACTGCCCTCATGACTCTCCAGGTCAGCCAGTTAGGGCTCCTGTTTGGGTGAGGGCTCAGGGAAGCTGTACACAGAAGCCACTACCAGCCACGTCACCTGTCTACTGTCTATCCTATCCTGTTCCTCAAGCAGCTGGGAAACACCACAATTCTGGTGTCACCCTTTCTGCTGCGGCCACATGGGAGGTGGGAGCAGGAGGAGCCACCCTGGTTCCAGCCCCTTCTGAGTGAGACAGGTTTGCCCCAGGCTGGGAAGAAACTACGGTCCTTGGTTGGGTTCTGTCCCCGCAGAAGCAGACCTTAGGCCAAGGCCCAGCAGGGGTCCATCCTCTCTGCCCTTTACCTCCACCTCCAGGCCCAGTGGACATGGCCTGCCTGACCGTGATGCCTGTGGGGGCTGGGGTTCTCTGCCCAGCCTTGCCCCTGACCTTGCTCGCACTAAGTTTACCTTGGGATAAGGAATCGGGCCTTTGCAAATACTACAGGTTGGATTGGGTTCTCCACACTCGAAAATAGGCGCCAAAGGCATGAGTCCCAGAAGCTCCCGATAGCTGACCTTATTTGGAAATATTCCGTTCAAGGTCATCGTGTTAGCTGTTTGTTGGGGTGGACCCTAAGCCAGTGTGACTGAGGGAGTTGGGGCTGGGAGTGTAGCTCAGTGGTAGAGGATGTGCCAGCCCTGGGCTGCATTCCCAGCAAAAAAAAAAAAAAAAAAACAATCATAGCTCTGTGCGCACCTGTAGTCTCAGCTACTTGGGATGCTGAGACAGGAACATGACTTGAGACCAGGAGTTCAAAGCCACCCTGAGCAGGCTAGGATAGGAAGACCTCATCTCTTATAAAAGCAAAAGGGGGGATTTGGTCACGGAGCGAACGCCACTTGAAGGCAGGACTGGAGGATATGTCTGCAGGCCTCTAAAGGCCAAGGTCACCAGCTGTGCGCCAGAAGCCAGGAAGAGGCAGAGAAGGGCGCCTCCTGATCTTCACCTCGGAGCCCCACACCTATAAGTGGGCTATAATCTATAAATGTCTGCCGTCTTCAGCCACCTGGTGAAGAACAAAGTCCTGTGGGACTGTCGTGACGGCCCTGGGGAAGGGATACGCCAACCCCATAGGGCTGTTGACTGCTTTCTGGAGGTTCTGGGTTGCAGGCTGAAGGCCTCACCTTGTGCTACTGCCAACCAGGCTCCATGGTGTACCACGGAACAAGAGTCCTGCTGGCAGAGCCTAGCGCACAAGCCATTTACCTCTTGTTTTGGTTTTGTAGACAAAAGTCACCCAAAACTCCAGCTTTGGTAGACAGTATAGCCACTGCCTGGCACCACACAAGTGACTGCAGCTTTGGCTACAGGGCGGCCTGTTCCAGCCTCAGCCCATCTGCTGGAGTGCCTGGCACTCTCAGACCCTGCCCTGGGACCCACTTGTCTGGTCTGAGTGGTGAAGAAGCAAATCCTAAATGAGGGCAAAAGGTTGGTGGCCAGCCCCAGCAGTGCATCCAGACTGATCTGATGGGGTCCAAGGCCTCTCTCCCCTCCACTGGGGCAGACGCTCCCCCACTGTGAAACATCTCCCAGCCATCCTGGCTTATCCCACCAGCTTAGCCAAACCAGGGCTGAAGTGGTGCCTCTGTCCTGACAGTTCCTGAAAGTCACAGGGGCACTCTGACTTGTGCCCACCTGTGCAGCAATCACTGTGGCCTGGGGAATTGGACTGAGGGATCTGAGGCCAGGTCCCCACCCCTGGGCCACATGGCTTGAAGGCAGATGCCTTCACAGCTCTGGGGCCCTCGGGGACTGTCCTTTCAGTCCTCAGGACCCTGGGTCAGAAGTCACGCCCTCGACCTCTGGTCCCCATCACCACACGGGGCCAGGGACCTCACAGGCTTGCCTGTGTGTCTGCATACCTAATCAATGAGGAATTAAGGATTGCCCAGGGAGACAACACTGGATCCTAGGCCTCTATCCCCCTACTGGCAGGGCCCGGCCTGGCCATAGTGCATGTGTTCTACCTGGCCTGACTCATTCTTCCTTTTTGCAAATGTCCCAATCCCTGTTCCTCAACTTTCCAGTTGTCTGGGGACTGGTGAAGTGGCGCTAGTGTGCAGACCTGGAGTGACAGGTTCCTCCTAGACAGTTACTCGTCTGGGGAGGCAATGCCAACCACCCCACCAGCTGAGACCTATTTGGCCCACGGTGCTGAAATGGAGCAGCCTTCGAGGCCACCTGGGGCACCGCCCTCGGAAATGCCAGCTCCTGCCCTGCCCACAGCAGCCAAGGTAGGGCGTGGGGACAAGGACTGGGATCCCCTGAGGCCCAGGCACTCCCGTTGCCTGAGTCAACGTGGCCGGCCTGCCCTTCATCTCTCTGGCCTCCGCAGCCTCACCCACCGCCCCCGCAGCTCTTCTGCCGCCCAGGATGCCAGTTTGGGCTGCCAGGACACAGCTCAGAGGACTGGCTCCCTGAGGAGGAAGTGGGCAGGGCAAGGCAGGGCGTGCCTGGTCCTGAGGCCTCACCAAGCCAGGGAATCCAGGACATGAAGACCAACCCAGCTTTCCACATCTTTATTGCACTTGGACCCTGCTTTCCTCACTGGCCCTTCTGTTCCGCTGTCAACACACTGGCACTGCCACCCGCCCACTCCTGGAGGCTCCTGCCTGCCTCCCTCTCTGCCTCCGCAATACCTAGAGGGAGGGGGTGTGGCCACAGCGAGCCTCCTCTGTGGGGGGCCTTGAGGCCAGTCCCACTCCCTCCTCCCTCATCAGGGCAGGAGTTCCCATCCCAGGTCCACCTGGGCTGGACCCTGGGGCGAAGCGGCTCAGGCCACCGGCCTTGACTTGCCCTGGTGGGCTCGGTCCCGGTGGTGGTGGTGGTGGTGGTGGGCTTCAGTGGCCTGCCCAGCCATCCGGCCCGCATTACTGGCTCCGCTGGCGGCGGTGGGGGAGGCCTGGGTAGGGGACCTGGGCGGGCTGGGCGGCTTGAGCGCGCTGACTGCCCGGATGAGGCCCATCCGGCGACGGATGGAGTGGTCCAGGTTGACCGTGCAGCGCAGCAGGCTCTGCGCCTCGGCCACCGTGAAGGGGAAGTCGGCGCCCAGGAAGCGCTCAAAGAGCTCGGGGTCGCCGTCCAGGTCCAGCACATTCTGCAACGCCTTGGTCATGGTGTGCAGCTCGCGGCTGTTGTCACAGAAGACGTCCCAAAGGCGCGCGCGGCCATCGGGCGCGCCCCCGGCCTGCTGCCGGTCCTCTAGGCACTGCAGTACCCAGCTGAGGCGACAGGGCCACTGGTTGGCCAGCACGACCCACGCCACAGCCTGGCGGGGAGTGGGGCCCCCGAAGTCAGCCTGCTGCTGCTGCTGCAGCAGGCGCACGGTGATGGGGACCGTGTTGACGATGCGCCGCATGGACACCACGTTGTCGGGCACGTACTCGTAGAGACAGTCGCGCTCGTCGTGCAGACAGAAGAGCGCCTCCTGGATGCGCCGCGCGGCCTCCGCGTCTATGCGGCCCTGCGCGCGCTCCGCCCCGGCCTGCGTCTCCACGGCCAGCAGCTGCGCGCCCTCGCTCCCTCCGCCGCCCTCGCCCCCGGGGGGCCGCAGCTTGCGCGTGATCTCGCGATACAGCAGGTCGTCGCGACTCTGCACCGCGTCGTGCAGGAACTGCAGCTTGGTGCGGCGGCCCATGATGGGCACGGAGAAGGGCAGCGTGACCGTGCGGTTGAGGAAGAGGTAGCCGTTGTCGGCCGTGCCCTTCATGTTGCCCGCGCTCTCCAGGCACGCGGCCAGGATGCTGGGGTCCACGACCAGGATGAAGATGAAGGGCGCGTGGCTGTCGGACAGCAGCGTGTTGATGGCGTTGAGCACGCCCACCACGCGCTCCGGGTAGCACGTGTCCAGTCCGGTGACCTCGAGCACCACGCGCAGCCGCCGCCGCTGGTAGATCTCCAGGAAGCAGAGGAAGTCGGTGAGCAGCTCCACCTCCTTCTTCACCTCGCACATGAAGCCCAGCTGGCTGCCGAACTTCTCGCGCGACACCAGCCGCTCGATCTTCTTGCGCTGGCTCACGAACAGGTGCTTGCCCACCGAGTACACGGCCATGAGCAGCCCGAGCCCGACAGCGTGGTGGCCGCGCCACCGAACACCTTGAGCAGACTGCCACTCGCGCCGCCGTGGGGGCCCAGCGCGTGGCCCCCCAGGGACAGGTAGAGCAGCCCCACGCCCAGGCAGAGCGCCGCCAGCAGCGCCAGCAGCGCCAGGCACACGCGACGCCGGCAGTGCCACTCGCGCTGGCAGAAGCTCGTCGCCGTCGTGGTGGGCTTGTTGCCCAGCACCGAGTACACGCTGAAGGGCAGCGCGCCGTAGTGGTGGCGGATGCCCTCGCACAGCGTGGTCACCAGGCCGGCCCACAGCTTGTCGGTGCCCGCGTACTGCCAGGCGCTGAAGCGGATGAAGAGGAATTGCACGTTCTTGCGTCGCAGGTGCAGCTCGGTGATGATGGGCTGCAGGAACACCAGGTACCACAGCAGCTGCGGGACGCCCCAGCCGCGCACGGGCCGCGGCCGCCACTGCACGCGCCGCAGCTCCTCGGTTTCGCGCTGCCGGGCCTCCTGCTGCATCAGCGCTGCGGGGGAGGGAGGAGGGAGAGAGAGCGGGAGGCCGCGTGATTGGCGGGCAGGCCTGGGGGCGGGGCCAGGAAGGGGCGGGGCGCCCCTGCAGAGACACGTGGCGCAAAGTCTCAGGACTGAGCGCCAGGAGGCGCCCCGGACTCTAGAAGGTGAGCCACGCCCGCCCACCCTGAAGAGCTGGGACCAGGTGCAGAAGGTGGGGTGTGGGAGGCCTGGGGTCTGGCTGGCACTGGAAGCGGTCAGAGGGCAAGGCTGGAGGGCAAGGGCAGAAGTAGAGCCCTCGGATGGGGGATGAGGAAGAGCCAGGGCTGGGCAAGAGGCTGGCGGCAGGTGGACTAAGCAGTACTGAAGAGGCTCCAAGAGGGGACCCTAGCAGGGACACCACAGCCTAGGTCTATTTTCCTGGCTCTGCTATCTCCTCCTCCAGGGAGCCCCCACTGACCCCAGGCTGGGCCAAAGGCCCTCATCCCTTCCCATTCTGGGTCATCACTGTCTGAGGTCAAGTCTGTCTCCCCTGCTGGATGTGAGCCCAGGGAGGGCAGGACACTGGTAAACTAAGCCACCACTGTGTCCTATGCATACCAAGGACATGCTGGGAGCATCTGAGGAATGGATCCTGTGAGAACTCCCTGACGGGTTCTATGAGGCCAGTGAGGGAGGGAGCAGGACTGTCACCTCGAATGTCATCCAGCCCAGAACAGGAAAATAACAGCCTTTTTGCCCTTCTATTTTGGTCTTTCCTTCTCTGTAACCACACAGGTATCTTGGGGATGCGAGGCAGGAGTCTATAGCTCAGCAAGGGACCTGGGCTTTCTCTGTAGGGCACTGAGCAGCCAAGGGACAGGACCAGTCTGTATTTTAGGAAAATTCCTTGGAGTGGGGATGGAGGTGACAGAAAGAGGGCAAAGGCTTGGAGGAGGCCAGGGAGGACAGCAAGGGCAGGGACAGCGCAGAGGCTGTGGCCATGGAAAAGACCTGGTGACAACTGAGTCACAGTTGCCTGGGCTGGGACTGGCAGGCCTTGAGTGACCGGATCTATGGGCAGCCTGGAGCTGGGCAGGGACCAGAGGCTCTGCTTCCCATCCCCCTTCCCAGATACTCACTGGTTATCTTGTCCAGCATCATGTGCAGGCGACAGCCAAAGGGGGCATAGAAACCCACAGTCACAGGGACGGGCACATGGCATAGAGTCTTGGCCAGGCAGCTGCAGTAGACGTCATCCTCTGTCAAGATGTCTGGGGGACGGGGTGGGGAAACTGAGTCAATGAGGCTGGCCAGGTGCCACCCTCCCTCCTCCCATCTGCCCTCCACAGCCCGCCTCCAGCCCTGCTCTGCACCAGCATCCTGTCCCTGACTGGCCCAGGCGACTCAGGTCAAATCCTGCTGTAAAGAATTCTCTGCCCCTTGTGCTCCAGACTATGTCCCCTGGAGGCTCTGACCAACCAGGCTAAGGCTGAACTGTCCCGTCCCTAGCCCATAGGCTTGAAGAAATCTGGCTGTCCTGACCCTAGGGCACCAGGCTTGCTCAGCCACCTGCCCGTGGCCTCCTGGGAAGATCCCCAGTGCCTTTCTTGGAACACCAGGCCCTCTGATGCTAAGACACTGTTTCCCACCGTCTGTCAAAGTCCCCACGCCAGTCAGCTCCTGTCTGCCCCCTCTGCTAACTTGGTTCCTGAGGAGCACAGGCTCCTGTCCACCCTGACCCTGACCCTGACCTCTCTCCCCAACCAGGACCTCACGCCCACCAGTCACTAATCCCAGGGAATATGGAGGTTGATGCTCTTGTGTTGAAGTGACATTTAGTGCACAGATTCCTGGCCCTGTGAGGCCCCAGGCACAGTATGAGAATGTCCTAGCAGAGGGGATCTTGCTCCCTGGGCATCACTTCTTGGACCTGGAACTGGGGTGTCAAAAAGGTAGGACTCAAGCCAGGCACCAGTGGTTCACATCTATAATCCTAGCTACGCAGGAGACAGAGATCAAGAGGACGGTGGTTCAAAGCCGGCCTGGGCAAACAGTTCTCCACACCCTATTTGGAAAAAAACATAACGAAAGAGGGCTGGTGGAGTAGCCCAAGATGTAGGCCCCGAGTTCAAATCCCAGTGCCGCAAACAACAAAAAAATCCAAGAGAGGTAGGGTTCAGTTGGGGGGTAGCCTCATGGGACATAGTGTCATGTATAACACAGGTCCCTTTCAGAGGACCTGGACCAGGCATGGCTTGCAGAGCTGGGAAGACAGGAGGAAGACTTGGGATGAGGTCAGCTGAGGTGGCCAAGGTAGACCTAATCAATGGGTGACTTCACCTCCCTCAGCCTCTATTTTCCTGTGTGTGAAATGGACATCCTGTCCCTGAGGCTCTGGTGACAGGGCTGTTGTACCCGCCTTCATCACATTGCTCCACTTTCAAACCAGACCTTGAAACAACTATGCGTCTCCACCTCCATGGCCAACCACCCTGGCCAGGCCACCAGCACCTCCCGCCCTCCTCTGCAGCCACCCGCTCCCCAGGCACCAGCTTCAGCCCCTTCTCTGAGGACATCTGGTCTTGGCTCAGAAGTCAGAAGTCCCCAGGGCCACTGCTACCCAGGTTGTGCTTAGATGCTACCATAATGCATCCTGGTCCGATGGCCCAAGTTCATCTACAGTTCTCACATCCCCTCCTCTCCCTGATTTGTTTGTCCCCCATATGGTTGTCACCTGGTGTCACACTTTTAAACTCTCCTCATTTACCTTGTTTCCTGTGCCCACCCCCACTCCCCGCATCTGTCCGTGAAGACAGATGTTTGCCCTGTGCCTGGCTGCCCGGCACACGTACTGTGTGACACTTAGTCACAGATGGACGGAGCGGGAGGGTGGCTGCGTCCCTCCCATAGCTGAATTGCTCCCTTCTCCCCCGTCTGCTCCCTACCTCTTACTGTACCTCCATGTTTGACCTGTCTCCCCCACACCAGAGCTGGCCACAAGCTGCCCCATGTCCTGGTCACCCCCTGCCCCATGTCCTCCCTGGCTTCCTGGGCCAGAGGAGAGAGGGCTGGGGAGAGAGAAAGCAGAGCCAGGGTGTCAGCAGCGGGAGAGGGAGGCCCCTGCCACCCAGCGGGGACAGAGGCAGTGTGCATGGGCCTGGCTCGGAAGCTGCGGACCCCAACAGGTGAGGCAGAGGTGGCTGCCTGGGACCCAGGGACATGGATGAGCACCCCTCCTGATGGCCCAGAGCGCGGGATGCGGACAGCCCTAGGCAGCTGCTAGCCAGTGAGCGAGAGGCCCAGGCGAAGCGAGGCGGCAGCGGAGCCCCTGGGAGGCCTGGCTGAGCACCGGAGCCATAGGAGGTGAAAGATCCACAGGCTGCGGGTGCCGGCAGGGGCCGGGCATCGGTGGGATGGCTGGGCTCCAGGAGGGTGCGGGCTGCAGACGGCGGGGCTGGGCCGCTGCTGGCCGTGGCTGGTGCCGTGGTGGGTGCAGGGGGCGGCTGGGGGGCGCTGGCTGGTCTCATGGGGGCAGTGGCGGTTGCAGATGGACCCTTCTGGGCCCCATGAATGGGGCAGAGCCGCTGCCGCAGCGGGTTGGGGGGTGGGGGCTGCCGCTGCTGCTGCTGCTGCTGCTGCAGGATGGGGTTCTGGGGGCCCTGGTGCCAGGTGCTGCCCCCCTGGTGGCCATGGTTGGCCTGCTGCCAGTGTGACTGAGGGGACGGCCAACAGGGCCCATGGGCTCGAGGGGCCTTGGGGTCCTGGCGCCATTGATGACAGCATCCTGAAAGGAAGGAAGTGGGGGTGACTGGGCCTGGATCCCTGACCCCCTGGGGGGTCACTGGTATGAACCAGGTTGAGTCTTCAGGTGGAGGCTGAGCCAGAGCATCCCTGGGGCACCAGAGGCCCTGAGGAGGTAGGGGTGCACTGAGGAGAGGCTATGGGTGTGGGGGGGTGGACAGGATCTCTGTCCTCCAGGGGTGGGAGGAAGACACACTGGCTTAGGTTTGTCACCCTAAACGACATCTTGCCACCCTAGGTGCCTGGGCCGTGGGCGAGGAACTCTCCCACTGCAAGGCCAGAGTGACTGATGGAGGGGAGATAGGCCAGGTTTGGGGGTGGGGTCTTGTTCGTGCTCAGACCACAGTACAGGGAGGAACTGACCAGTGAGGCTGGTGGTCCTCCCAACCTGGGGAGGCTGAATGAACATAATGCCATGTCATTGTCCCCACCCCACCCCAGCAGGGACACCTGCAGTCACCACAGGAGACTAAGCCTCCCCCCTCCCCTCCTCATTCAGACACACTTGGGTAGAGGCTCCCCACCTCCCCTGCCTCCTCCCACACTGTTCCCCCATGGAGCTTTGGGGAAGCCTCCCCTGCTCCCATCCCCAGTGTAGACGCACACCTTTCGCCCCCCCTTACCCCTGCCCAGGGCCTGTGCCACACCCCGAGGACCCCACCATGCCTCTATAGGGGTCCTGCACAGTGGTGGGCACCTGTGCTCCCAGATGCTCAGCAGGAGCACCACTAGCTCAGGAGTTCAAGGCCATCCTAGGCTACATAGTGAGACCCTGTCTCAAAAAAAAAAAAAAAAAAAAAGCCGGGTGCCGGAGGCTCACGCCTGTAATCCTAACTACTCAGGAGGCAGAGATCAGGACGACAGCAGTTCGAAATCAACCCAGGCAAATAGTTCATGAGACCCTATTCAGAAAAAACCCATCACAAAAAAAAGGGAGTGGCTCAAGGTGAAGGCCCTGAGTTCAAGGCCCAGTACTGCAGGGAAAAAAAAACAAAAACAAAAACAACCCACCTCAGGGGGTACTGGTGACTTTTCTCCCTGAGGCCTGCAGTTCCCCTCGTCCACCATCATTCAGCACCACCCCTGGCCCTGCAAACTGAGCCCTTACCTTTTTGGTGCCCCAACTCAGGATCCAAGAAGTAGCGCTCGGTGGGGCTCCGGGCACTCTTGGTGAAGTGGACGTTGTAGTGCTTCTGCATGGCGGGCCGTGATGTCGAGGGCCTGCCCCTGAGCAGGAGGGTCACAGCAGATTCAGTGCCCAGCCCCCCGGGACATGGGTTAGAGAGCTGAGGTCGGGGTCCCTGCCCTGCCCTAGGATGGCCCCAGGTGAACTTGGACAGGTGAGAGGCCCTCTCCTGATGCTGGGTCTTGATGTCACCAGGCTGTGCACAGTAAGTGTTCCCCAAGTAAAAGCCAGAGGTCAGCACAGCCACAGGAAGGAGGATGGGCGTGGGGTGGGGGTGGCTTAGGGGCTGGATGGGGGCTGAGTGGATGTGGGCCAAGGACAAGGAGCCAGTGGGCTGAGGAGCGTCAGGGAGAATGGTTGGGGGGCTGGGAAGGCTGATGTAATCTGAGCTTGGGGGCGACTGAAACATCAGAGCCAGGCAGACCTCGGGCTGAATGAGGGCGCGGAGGCAGGAGAGACCTGGGGAGCCGTGAGATTTGGTGGGCATACTCGGGCAAGGTGGGGCATATGGGGTTCGGTGAGAAGCCGAACCTGGGGAAGGAAGCTGCGTGGCTGGCGGCAACAGGTGAAGGTGGGAGGGAAGGAGGAAGTGGGGTGGTGAGGGTTGGGGGCCAGGTGCGGGGCGCTGCCCGCTGCCTCCCCCAGCCCCGGGCCCTGATCCGTACCTGGCGGCGGCCTCGCGGCCCCAGCTCCCTACCCGCAGCCCCGAGCTGCCGGGCCAGCCCCGCGACTGTCAGCGCAGGCCCAACAGGTGCCCTGTGCCGCCCGCCTGACCGGTTTGCCCGCCTGTCCCCGCCCCCTCCTGGCAGCTGCCTGGCTCGGTGCTCTCTAGGACTGGGTGCCCCAACATGGCCACACGTACCCCAGGACAGTGATGGACTTGGAGCCCACTGCACTCCTCACACATGGTCACTGGGTCTGTCCCCAGTGACAGGTCCTCCTGCCGTGGGGACAGGAGGTGGGATGTGGAGGAAGAGTGCAGAAGAGGACACGATCCAGTCCAGTGGCTGGTTCCTCTGCTACCCAGCTGTGTGACCTTAGGCAAGTGACTTCACTCCTCTGGGCCTTGGCTTCCTCATTGCTGAGAGGGCCAGGTTGGCACCTGCCTCTTCGGGTTGTCAGGAGGGACCAGGTAAGAGTCCACCCAGCTCAGGGCCTGGCCTTAGCAATAGCAGCCGCTGACCCATTTACCAGGTACGGCTGGGGATGCTTCACATATCACCATGGCAACAGCACCCACATGGGCCTGCTCACTCGGTGACCTCCACTCTCACCCCGCCCAAGGGGCTACAGTGCTGTCCACTTCATAAACGAGGAAACTGAGGCCAAGATTGGGGACTTGAAAGCAGGGCTTCTGTCTGGCCAGGGTCTTCTCCTCATGGTGACTGGTGTGCCAGGATAGGTAAGTCGTCTGATGCCCAGGTCCTCTTCCGTCCGCAGGAGCAGCTCTGTCTCTCCTGCCCACAGCCTTCAAACTTTTTTTTTTTTCTTTTTTGTGGCACTGGGGTTTGAACTCAGGGTCTACACCTTGAGACACTCGGCCAGCCCTTTTTTTGTGATGTGTATTTTCAAGATAGGGTCTCAAGAACTGTTTGCCTGGGCTGGCTTCAAACTGCAATCCTGATCTCTGCCTCCTGAGTAGCTAGGATTACAGGTGTGAGCCACCAGCACCCGGCTCCTTCAAGCCCATTCTTTTGGGAAGTCTCCTCCCCAGCCCCTCACTCTGAAGGCACCCAGCTTCATGGAGGCAGGGGCAGTGCAGGTAAGCATGCAATGTGTGCAGGTGGACCCTCGGGGCCACTGAGTTCAAACACAGAAGGGGCAAGGTGGTGGGTAGGCAGAGGTCCCGAGGGCTGTTGGCTACAGATGGGGAAGCAGGTTTGGGGAGCGGGCCAGGTAGGGAACAGCATGTGCAAAGGGGACAAAAGCAGATCTGGGGACACAAAGCTCAGCCGTGGGGCAGGAGAGGGGCAGGAAGTGGGACATCTGGCCACACTTCAGAGACCCTTCCTGTAGCACTGGGGTCTCACCCCACCTTGGCCGAGGCACTGCATCAGGCAGTGGACAGCAGAGTCGGCTGAATGAAGGCGACAGTGAGGGCAGAGAAGCCAGCCCCAGCCAGGGATGGGGCAGCTGTCCTGGGTATGACTCAGTGCACACGGAGGGTGTTAGACCTCTCTGTCCCCCAGACCTGTTCCTGCCTACACTCTGGGTACCCCAGTCCTGGTCCTCGGGGAAGGGCTGTGTTCAGTGTGCCCCACCAAGGCAGAGGGCAGCTCCAGACTTGGTGACAAGCAGAGACCCAGCAAGCCTGGGGGGTGGTGGAGGAACGAGGAACCAGGACCAGATGTAAAGCCCAAGAACTCAGGTCACCAGCGGGGGGCAGAGGGACCCCTGACTGCCGCTGTACAGATGGCTCACTGCCACTGTTATCCCATACACAGAACCTTTATTGAATGACAAGTCCCAGGTCCCTCCAACCAGTCCTGACTGTGTGGGACCACCTTGCTCCCAGATCCCCCACTTCCCTTTGGTACCCTCGTCTTGGGCACATGGGGCCCCCAGAGCCTGGGGAGCGCCAGCCTCAAGACCGCCTCCCAAGCTTGGGCAGGGGTGGCCAGGTCCTCAGGACTTCAGAATCACCACCTGGAACCTGCCTGGAAGAGAAGGAATGGTGCCTTTAGCTGGAGGCTGGGATGTGGGAAAGAGACAGAAAGCAGATGTTCACCCCTGCCCTTCCCCGATGGCCTTGGTGGCCCAGCCACACCTCAGGCTGCCAGGTGAGTGGGTCAAAGGGGGATGCTGCCCTGCCCACGTGGCCGGCACTCCAGGGCTGTGTGGGAGGCCAGGGGCAGGCAGGCCAAGCACGCAGGACAGGAGGCTGGGAAGGGCCCGGCCTGGGCTTCTTGGCATTGCTACTCGGGCCGTCACCCAGCCCAGGTCCCCCCACTGACCGAGGGAACAGGAAGGTGTCAGAGAGGGGCCACACATTCCCACTCCTTTGAAACCGACCAGTACGTCTATTATGTCCCCCGGGTTCTGTGCTGGGAAGAAACGCTTGAAATTATGGCTGTCCCAGAGCCGGGAGCAGAGACGGGCCCATACTGGCCGTGTGGCCTGAGAAAGTAATATAAACTCTGGGCCTTAACTCCCACATCTGTCCTGTGGGCTCAGCAGCCTGGGGTCGCCTCCCTGGCACCCATATGGGAGCAGGGCCAGTGACACCCTGGAACCAGCACTCAAGGCATAAGAAGACCCCCCCTCCCGCCAGTGACTCACAGGCAGGCAGGGCCGTCACGGAGGCAGTGACCAAGCTCTGGAAGCCCAGGGTATGGAGGGTGCCACACAGAAGGCCGCAGGTGAAGGCCAGGAACTGAGGTGGGGGACACAGAGCACTGTGGGAGGAGGGGAAGCCAGCACCCAGGTCCCATCCCCGGAACCTGGGGAGAGGCCTACCCTGGGGTGGGCCAGGCAGGTGGGAACCAAAGGGGACACTCCCAGCCCCTCTCACCTTGGGTGCTTCCTCTACGTATTGCAGGCCCGAGGCCATGGGGACCAAAAGGGGGAAGCTGTTGTCCTGTAAGACGTAGGTCCCCTGGGAGCAGAGGAGAGCCATGGGGGTGGGCCATCACCCGGGGAGTGGGGAAGCCAGGACCCTGTCCCATTGGGCTGAGGTCTGGAAGGACCCCCCCCCCCCCAGCACCCTATGATCAGGCCCATCCTTCAGAGTTAGCCCTGGCGTTCACCCCCCAGGGAGCACTTGCCCTACCCAGCTGGCTGTGTGGCTTCCGGGAGAAGCTGGGGACCTGGCCCATGAAGCGACCACAGCGTGGGTGTTCAATGGGAACAGGGACTAGTGTGAGACAAGCGGCGTCACGCCACAGCCTGAAGCTGCCAGCCACACTTCCGCCTGCTCTGGGGCTCACTCCTGGGAGGCTGCTGCATGTTCTGAACTGCAGTCCTGGCTTCCCTTAGAGGACCGTGCAGAGGCCACGGCTGCAGCCTCCCTGCGTGGGGTCTCCACCTGGTGATTGGTACGGAGCCCATCCATCTGCTTTTGGAACACGGCCACCCACAGGTCCTTGCACAGAAACTTGAGGACATCCAGCTCCTCCCTGAAGGACAGGGTCTCCCGGGGCAGCCTGGTGGGGGGGGGCGATGGGCGGGGGGGGGGAGATCTGTACATGGAACCATGTCACCTTCCCCACCCAGCAAGGGACCCGCCCCAGGCCCTGCCCACCCTCCCAGCCAGAGCGGGGAGGCAGCTCTCACCTCTCGCCCAGAGCCTGGCCCACACGGAAGCCCATGCCCTCCAGGACCGACAGGCTCATCTTGGGTCCCTAGAAGGCCACCAAAGAGAGGCTCAGAGAGCTTCTAGGGATGGTAGCTGCAAGGGAGCCCTAAGAGCAGGGGACCTGTAATCCAGGACAGAGCAAGTGAGGAGAGGAGAGGCCTCCTGCCCAGCCAGGCAGGAGCGGATGGAAGACTTCAGAGCGGGTGGCCGGCCCATCCCCTCCTGCTTTGCAGACCACTCCTCTGGCTCTGTGTCTCCGGGGGCTCACACGTACCACAAGCCCTGGAAGTGAGTTCTTTCGATCTCCTGAAACGATCCCCAGGTCAAGTGGCAAGAATCCAGGCTGGGCCACTGGAAGGGTGGCCATGAAAGTCACCATCAAGTCTGAAAGTCAGCCACAACCCCCAGGAGGCCACAAGGGGTCGAGGGAGATGTGCGCTTGGGTGCTCAGGAAGGCAAGAGCAGCCTGGCAGTGCCACGTGGTATCCAGGGGCAGCGAGGATCCCATGTTGGGCCAGGGCTGAGATGGAAGGGCCCAGGGAGGGGACAGCATGTTTGAAGTTTTTGTCTTCCTGGAATTAAACCCGGGGTCTCTCACATGGGAGACAAGGGTTTTACTACGTAATCCATGCACCCAGCCCTTCGGTTTTTATTTTGTTCTTGAGATAGCTGTCACTAACTCTGCTGGGCTGGCCTCAAACTCTTGATTCCCCTGCCTTCGCCTCCTGAGTAGCTGCAGTTATAGGTACGCACCACCACACCCGGCTTGTATGTGTTTCTTTACTTGAGAGACTTGGACAGAGCGGAGTGACAAAAGGCCCAGTCTGGGGACATCCAGAGTCCCAGAACGAATCATGGTGGGGGTGCCATGCTTGGAGAGAACCCACCAGACCAGAAGGGGACAAGCAGAGGACAGGCTGGGAGGAATTGTTCCCTCTGTTGGGCTCCACCACAGATAACTGCAGTCACCAGGCCCTTTCCTGCCCTCAGCCATCAACGAGCCACCACCCACCCTTGGGAGACGAGGCAGGCTCCTTCCTGTGTGTGCATGGGCACGGGATGCTCTGCTTCCTAGCCATGGGGAGGATTCCCAGCCTCCCCAGCCCCAGCACACAGCCTCATCCCTCAAGCTAGGTGACAGATGAAGCCCTGGCTGACCTGGGATAAAGCCCTTGGCTGCAGGAAAACCCCACAAAGGAAGGGGTTTTGGGGCTCCACATCTCAGCACCTAATGCAGCCTTGGCTGTCACTGAGCTGGGACTACCTGGTGGCCACTCCTCCTAGGTGATGTCCCAGGAGCAGGTCTGCTGTGCCTAGCGAGGTGACAGGCACCTGGACGTGGCTGAGAGAGCAGGGCAGGGCCAAGCCCAGGTGGTAGCCAGGATGGCAGCCCAGGGTCAGCCAGCCGGACAAGGAGTGGGAAAGGGAGCCAGAAGGATTAGCGGCAAGTTCACGTTTTCCTGTAGTGAACTTCAGATCACCTGGGTTTGAATCCTGGCTCTACCATTTACTGCACGCAAGCCCGGGGCAGGTTATCCAGTGACCCCGTGCCTCAGTTAACCCACGTGTGCAATGGAGTTTGTGGCACTACCTTCTCACAGTGGTGGTGTGACAGGCACAAGGTGACTGTCTGAAGCACATCTGTTGTCACTGCTGGTCCCACTGTGCCTGGCCCTCAACAGGGGCCAATGAAATACCTGCTGAAAGGAAAATGCTAAGGCAGAAAGGGTACAGAGGACGATGGAGAGAGGAAGGAGAAGAGGAAGTGGGGGGAAGGGGCAGAGAACCAGCAGGTGACAAGGAGGAAAGGGTGGGGGAGGTAAGGACAGGCCTCCACCTGCCACTATCACAGTCACCTCCCTTAGCCTGGGAGTCTTGAGTCCACAGAAGGAAAACTTGAACTAGCCTGCAAGTCCCTGGAAGGGCTCTGGGGCCTGGGATTTGTGATTTTCCCGGGACAGGCAGGGCTCTCCCATACACGTGAGCAGGCCGGGCCTGGCCCAGACACAATGCCTTTCTGGGATTGCCCACCCGGTTCCCAATCACCAAGGGTAAGGAAAGGAAAGGAAAGTGTGAGCAAGGTGGGGACAATGGCAGCCACCAAACTTGTCAGGAGCCAGTGGGGAAAACAGATCTGTGCCGCCCAGGTGCCCAAGTTCTCATTTTGCCCCTAACTGTGCCTGTGGCACTTCCGAAAGGCCCTTCCTCTCCCAAGCCCCAGCACCTCTTCTATATAGAACTTCTGAAGAGCCGGGTATGGTGGCCACACCTGTAATCCCAGCATTTAGGAAGCTGAGGCAGGAAGATTGTGAGTTCAAGGCCAGCCTGGGCTACACAATGAGACCCTGTCTCAAAATAATATAATAAATAAATAAACCAGGACAATGAGGTCCACCCTGGAGAGTTGTTCTGAGGGCTAAGTCAGGTAAAACTATGTCTTTGGTTATTGGCTCCAGGATCCCACAGATAAAAATCCAAGGATGCTGGAATCTTTTTGCATATAACCTACTTGTATCCTCCCACGGCCTTAGCTTCTTTTGGGGGGTCTAAGCATGGCACCTGGGCCCTTGCTCACGCTAGGCAAGTGCTCTACCACAGAGCCACGTCCCCAGCCCTCCCACAGACAGTGGCTCATCTCTAGGTGGATGTAATGTAAAAGACTGGTGACACAGCATATTACATAGCACTCACAGAGTGTTAAATACCATGACATTTACAGTGTGATGACATGTAAGTACTTGTTATGCTGTATAGCTCAGGAACTAAAGGCAAGGGGAAAAAAGTCTGAGCCAGGCGGGGTGGCTCATGCCTGTAATCCCAGCTTCTTGAGAGGTAGAGGTTGGAAGGATTGTAGTTCAAGGCCAGCCTGGGCAAAAGTTAGCAAGAGGCTATGTCAAAAATAAACCAGGTATGGTGACACAGCCTTTAGTACCAGCTACTGAGCAGGTGGGGCAGGTAGGAGCACCGTGGTCTGAGGCCTGCCTGAGCAAATGTGCCAGACTGTGTCTAGAAAAACAGGAAAAGGGCTGGTGGAGTGGCTCAATTGGTAGGGTGCCTGCCTGGCAACCATGAGGCCCTGAGTTAAAGCCCCAATACTGGGAAAAAAAAAAAAAAGCCAGGTGTTATGTGGTACAGCAGTGTGGTTAGGATTTTAGAGGCCAGCCTGGGCAAAAGTGAGAGACCCTGTCTGAAAAATAAACAAGCAAAAAGGGCTGGTGAAGTGGCTCAAGTGGTAGAGCACCTGCTTAGCAAGAGCAGGGCTCTGAGTTCAAACCCCAGTGCTGCCAAAAAAAAAACCCCAAAAAAATCCCACATACTGGACCTTAAAGGAAAACATGTCAAAGAGTCACTAACAGCACCAAATGTGTTCCTGTAAAATAACAGTAAAAAGTGACACACTCTCTGGTCTGGCCCCTAACTGTTTGAAGTCACAGGGTATAAGGACAGGAATCATTAGGTAAGACAGGAGGAGTCCAGTCACAGTCTGCAGACCACACCTCAAGAAGGCCTCCATGGCCACTAAAGAACGAGTCTTTCCCGCTCACGCTCCACCCTCGACAGTGCGGACGGTGTGCTTTCTTTGCTAATAAACCTGCTTAATTCTCACGGCTAACTCGTCCTTCCATTCCTTTCTGCAGTGAAGTCAAGAAGTCTTTCCCAGCCTGAGTCTAGGTCCCCCTCTTGTCTCTAGGACTCACCTTGTCACAGGAGTTATTCCAGGTTACAATATGTATTGTAACAATACATATTGAAACAATACAATATGTAACAATACATATTGCAACCTGGAATAACCTCCCTGCCCCACCCTCACAGCACCAGGTAGGGATGTCCACACTGAGTTCCCACCGTGTGCCAGGGGCACAGTGATGACTGGCACAGATCTGGTCTCAGCTCATATGGGCATGCAGTCTGGCAAGCAGAGACAGATGTAAATCAAAAAATCTTAGCCAGGCGCCAGTGGCTGTCACCTGTATAATCCTAGCTGCCCAGGAGGCAAAGATCAGGAGGATCTCGGTTCGAAGCCAGCCTGGGCTGACCTTATCTTGAAAAAAAACTAACACAAAAAAGGGCTGGTGGAGTGGCTCAAGGTGTAGGCCCTGAATGGAAAGCCCGGTACCACACACACACACACACACACACAAAATAATAATAATTCAGATACACCCTGTTGTGATGAGGGCTAAGTGTAGGGGGAGTGAGGAGGAGGCTGCGGGAACAGATGCAGGAGATCCAGATTTTCCTGGGGGCTTGGGGAAGGGGCATTTGAACATCTCAGATTAACAGGATCAACTCAGTAAAGATGTGACAGGGGAGTAAGGGGCGGAGTGACACTGGACAAGGGCAGGAGAGGGCACACAGGAAATGTTTAGTGACAGAACGGGCAAGGCCCCCGCGTTTCTGGTTTGAAAGCCAGGAAGGAGGGGGTCTCAGATAGTATGTCTCCCTGCCCACATCACAGACCTGGCTTGGTCATAATGTCATTTGTCTGTGTCCCTCCACTATACCACACACTCTAGGAGCATGAGGACTTTTGTGTGGCTCACTGAGGCATCCCCAGAGCCTACAGCAGGGCCTGGTACATTGAAGGTCTTTGTTTTTGGACTGAGCTCAAGGCCTCACCCAAAAGCTTTACTACATGAACCACCCCCAGTGCTTTTGCTTTTTAGTTTGTTTTTCAGACAGGATCTTGTACTTTTGCCTGGGCCAGGGCCAGTCTTGAACGATCCTATCACCGCCTCCCAAGTACCTGGGATTACAGGCATGTACCACCATGCCTGGCCCTCCTTGCATGTCTTTTTCTTTTGGGGGGAGGGACAAGAAAAGCAGGAGAGTTTGTTGAGATAGAAAAGTATAAAGTGGAAGAATTGAGCCCCCAGAGCTTGGGGATGGGCGGGTCCCAAGAGAAGGCCCCTCCTTATGTGTCTTTTTTTTTTTGCAGGTCTGGGGTTTGAACTCAGGGCCTCCACCTTGAGCCACTCCACCAGCCCTTTTTTTGTGATGGGTTTTTTCAAGATATGGTCTGGAGAACTATTTGCCCAGGCTGGCTTTGAACCACCATCCTCCTGATCTCTGCCTCCTGAGTAGCTAGGATGACAGGCCTGAGCCACCGGAGCCCAGCTTCCTTGCACATCTTAGAAAAAGTCTGTTGAATGAATGAATGAACTCAGGAGAAACCACCCCGAGATGATAAGCAACACCCTCCTCGAGGCTCCTGTACGTCTTGCACACAGACGTTGACCACGAGCACAGTAAGAATTAGTGAAAAAATGCCCACTAAGCACCTGTACTCCGTAGGGCTCCCCAACTCTTATTTCTTGGCAAGATTTCTTCCAGGTGCGGGGGATGTGACCTGCCATCTCTTGCATGCAAGGCAAGGGCTCTACCACTGAGCTACATCCCCAGCCAGGTGACAGAGTTTGTGGGCTGATTACATACCCAGTGCTTTCAAATTTTAGCTCGTTTATTCCCCATGAGGACCAACTTCCAAAATGCCACGCCTGCTCCTCCCTCAGGCCGCCACCCTTCCTTTCCCTCAGCCAGGAATGAAGAGAATGTTCTCTCCCCACCAATCACCAACTCATAAAAGCTTCCTCCGTCGTCATTCACCGCCATCCCTCTTCTCTCAGACTCTCCTGAAGCTTTCTCTGTTGAACTCACTAGCTGATGGCATATTTCGCTGTTTGTGTGACTCCTCTGCTTAAAGCGTTACTTTTCACCAGGACTGGCATGTTGTCTATCTTAGAAGACTCCCTGAAATACACTAGAAGCTCAATGAGTATTTGTTGAATGAATAAATGACCCTCCCACACTAAGACATAGGTGCTGGCAGGAGGCACACATTTTCAAAGGAGGAAACTGAAAGGCACCAAGATTAAGTCACTGAGTGAGTGGTGAGTCCTCATCCGCGCCCGATATTAACCAATTATTATAATTGCCAACCGCTTACTCTGTGCCAGGCCTTGAATTAAGTGCTTTACCCTGAGTCATCTCGTTCAATCCCAGCTATAACCCGCGAGCAAGGTGCTGTCTCGACTTCACAAAGCCAGCGCCGAGGTCACCCGGCAAGGCAGGGAAGGGGTCAAGGGTCCGAATCCGAGCGACGGATACACCCTCCGCGCACCCCGAAGCCTCCACCCGGTCTTTCCTCCTCCTCCCGAGGCCCGGAGCTCACCCCAGGGCCAGGATCGGGATTGGGAGCCCACAGCTCCGCCACCATCTCGGTGTGTAGAAACTCGAACAGCACTGCATCCGCCATGCGCCAAACTCGCGCGCCTACCGACCGCCTAGCGCTTCCTCCTCTCATTGGTCCGGTTGGAAAAGTCCCGCCTCCTGCGTTCCAGCGAGAGCCCGCCTATCCCTGCTCCCATTGGTGTTTTAAACTAGCCCCGCCTTCTCTCCGCAGGCTCACGAGGTGCGCGCGTGAGCCTGGGCAGGGCCAGGCCAACTCCGACTCTCATTGGCCAAATGTGATAATATGTTCCGCCCTTATCTCTGTTCCTTCACTGTTTCCGCGCCCTTGAGCATTCTCATTGGCCACATCCTGATAACACAGCCACTGTCGTTTTCTTTAACGCTCCCTAATTTGTCCACTACAGAAGTTCCTCGAAGCATAACACGGAAGCGCTTGCCCAACCCCTTCCCTATTGGCCGTTCCTCCATTCATGTGATTCGGCCGCACACGTGCCCTCAAAGCTGGGGCTGAGAACTTGCTTTCTGATTGGTAGCCGAGCAACCCCACGTGACTGTGTCGCCAACGCCCACCTACTCCGCTTTCCTATTGGTTGGGATTGCAGTGGTGAAGCCGCCTTTCTTCCGCCAGGCAGCGCATCTTGTGGACTCGGAGCTTCAGAGACCTGGTATGGCCTTCGGGGTTTGCGCTGCTCCCCCATGCTCGTTAGTGCACCCTCCCTCCTAGGACTGTCGTCCTGTCTATGACTGGCACTGGTCCCTGAGCGGCTGTCGAGCCCACGTGCTTCCGGGCCCGAGACCGGCCTGCAGGATGATATGGAGGGTGTGGCCTCTGCTAGGAGGCAAATTCGGAAAGAACTCAGTTGGGAGTCTGGGAGCTCGGGCCCCGAATCCTTGATCGGGCTGGTCCTCTGTTTCCCCATATGTACACTGAAGAGCCCCCATCACCAGCCAGTGTACAAAAGGGGAAACCGAGGCCCAGATGGGAAGCACTCAGGAGAATGAGCGGAGGGGCTGCGCCTGCGCCTTTCCCCTCTCACGCCGTCCCTTCGCCCCTCTGGCCCCCCAGCTCCGCGCCATGGCGTCCCAGAGTCGTCGGCGGAGGCCACCACGGAAGCCGGGGACGGTGGTGCCGGGAGAGGCGACCGAGACGGACTCGGAGCTGTCTGCGTCCTCGTCGGAGGAGGAGCTGTACCTGGGTCCCTCGGGCCCGACGCGCGGCCGTCCCACCGGGCTGCGGGTGGCCGGGGAGGCCGCGGAGACCGACTCGGACCCCGATCCGGAGCCGACGGCCGCGCCGCGGGACCTGCCCCCACTCGTGGTGCAGCGGGAGTCGGCGGGGGAGGCCTGGGGCGCCGAGGAGACCCCGGCCCCGGCCCCCGCGCGCTCGCTGCTGCAGATGCGGCTGGCCGAGAGCCAGGCGCGCCTGGACCACGACGTGGCGGCCGCGGTGAGCGGCGTGTACCGCCGTGCGGGCCGCGATGTGGCCGCCCTGGCCGGGAGGCTGGCAGCTGCCCAGGCGGCGGGGCTGGCGGCCGCACACAGCGTGCGCCTGGCGCGCGGGGACCTCTGCGCGCTGGCCGAGCGCCTGGACATCGTGGCCGGCTGTCGCCTGCTGCCGGACATCCGCGGTGTGCCGGGTACCGAGCCAGAGCAGGACCCGGGACCGAGGGCCTAGCCAGACCCCATGTCCCCATCTGACTCTGCTCCTTGGGGGTCGTGCAGCCTCTGGTATCTGGCTTTGTCCCTGTGTCCTCTACTACTGCCCCCACTCAGCTTGCTGTAACCGTAGGGCTAGCCCAGCCTCCTGGACAGGTCTCTAGTTTCTGTTTTTGGTCCTGATCCTGCTCTGCTCTTGGGACTGGCATGGGGCTTGGTCTGTTCACCTGCAGCTTGGGGTTTGGAGTTCACCGTGTCCCACCTTGCTGTCTGGACCCCCTCCCCACTCGCTTGGCTCCGCCTCCAGTCCTAGCACAACTTCTGTGATCCCCGACACCCCACTCCCCCAGCACATATCCAGTACAGTGTGGGTCTTTCTTGGCTACCCAGGCTTCTTGGCTCTGGTTGCATCCGGGTTCTAGATCTTGCTGTCTCCTGGCTCCTCCTCTTTAGGATTAGCTCCGCCTCTTCTTGTTTCCGGAGTCCCCTTGCACCCTTAAGATAGGATTTACTTTGCCTTGCTTTTCTCATCCTGCTTATAATACCTACCTGGTCCTGGGCTTCAGGGACCCCTATAGTTTCCTTTCTAAGACCCAAAATTATGGCCCCTCCTGACCAAAAGGTGTCCTCCCCCAGCTCCCCTAGACCAGTGTGGCACCCTTCAGGCACTTGGGCCCAGTCCAGTCCCGCCCTGGCCAGAGCTTTGGGCTCAATAAGGCGTCTATGGGCTGCTAGTCCAGGGCAGTGGTAGAGCCTTTGCCCAGTAGGTGCAAAAACCTGGGTTCTGTGCCCAACACCAACAACAACCCCCGCAGAAAAGAATGTGCCAGGCATTCTCGGTGTTGGTGCCTGGATGCTACGTGGACTTGGCTTCCTCACCTGGCTTGGGACCTGGGAGCGACAGCCTCTTTCTGCCCCTTCTTACCTGCTTCTGGACCGGCTAGAGCACCTCAGGCCACTTCCACTTCTCTCCCCCAGCTTACTGTTCGGCCCCAGGATGGAAGGGCCCTGTCACCCCCACATTAAAGTCCAAAGCATTTCCGCACGTGACCAGTGCCTCGTGTTGTCCCCGCCTGAGCTGGGAGGCTGGGTTGGTGATTTCGCTGTGCACAGGGGTGTCAAGATCCCCATGCTGCTAGAGGAGTGGCTCGAATGGTAGAGCACCTGCCTAGCAAGTGTAAAGTCCTGAGTTCAATCCCCAACACCGCCACACACACACACACACACACACGAAAGACCCCCATGCCTGGCCTGTTGACGGTGAAGCCCCTTGTTTTTGCCCTGGTTGTGTATTACTTGTACTAAATTCAACACACATTTTGGGGACACCTTTCCTGTGCTTGCGTCTAGGGGTCCAAAGCCAATTCCAACCCTCGCTCCTAGCTCTGTAGTGGAGACAGACATTGCTAGAATAGTCTATAAATAGTTCTAGGACTCATAATTATAGTATAGTCGTAACTTTTTCTGGCACTAGAGTCCTTAAGAAGGATCTTGGGAAAGGTGTGATGGGATCTGTGTGACCTGGGGAGGGGGAGTCGCACAGCTTCCCTGAGGAAGTGACAGGTGATGTCTCAGCCCTGGAGGTGCCCATGGGGTAAGTGGGAGTGGGCTGGAGAGGAGCTGCACACACTGGGACAGCATATGCAAAGGCCCTGGGTCAGGAGGGGCATGGCCTATCAGTGTTCAACAGGTTTCCCTTGCTGTGACAGAATACCAGAGATAGTCAACTCACAAGGAAGAAAGGTTTGTTTGGCTCATGGTTTCAGAAGTTTCAGTCCATGCTCACTTGGCCCTGTTGTCATTGGGCCTGTGGTGAAGCAGTACAGCACAGTAGAGGGCAGGAGAAAGAAGAGGGGCTGGAGTCCCAACAGCTTCGAGGACACGCCCCCAATAGCTCCTTTCACTAGGCCCCGCCTCTTAAAGTTTCCACCATGTCCCCATAGTCATTGACATGACTTGTAAGAACATTCCAGCACTTGCTGAAGTAGCAGAGGGCAGTGACTTCTGCCCTCCTGGAGGTGGGAGGGCAGTGGGGAGTTGAAGGAGTGCGGCTCCAGTAAGGGCCCCAAGGAAGGTGGGCTGCTGAGCCAGGCATGGTGTGTTGGTGTTCCCCGATGTCCCATGTACCTCCTGGAGGAGCCTCCAGCTGTGCTTTGCTTCGGCAGTGTAGCCACCTCTGAAAAACACTCAAAACACTGATTTAGTATGGAGCTCAGTGGGAGAGCACTTGCCTCCCACAGGCAAGACCCCTGGGCTGTTCCCAGCACCGCAGAAAACAACAGCAACCAAAGCAACAATAAAAAAAAAACATCCTTTTTGAGATACAGAGTCCAAGCCGGGTGCTGTTGGCTCATGCCTGAATCCAAGCTACTCAGGAGGCAGATCAGGAGGGTCGCAGTTCAAAGCCAGCCCAGGCAAATAGTTCTCGAGACCCTATCTTGAAAAACCCCATCACAAGTAAAAAGGGCTGGTGGAGTGGCTCAAGGTGTAGGCCCTGAGTTCAAGCCCCAGTACCATAAAAAAAGAAAAAAAAAAAAAAGTGTCCAGAGAGAACCTGGGAACCGCCAGGGCAGAACTGAAAGCTAACTTCCATTCATCTTTGACACCATTTGCCAAGGTGGAGCCCCAAGGCCTTGGATTTCAACAGCTGGCAGACTTGGGCCAGGAGGTGTGGCAGAAACAGAGGCCCCTTTTAATACTCAGTCCCCTGGAAAACTGCTCTTCCGCTCTTTCTTTTTCTTCTTTTCTTTTCTCTCTCTTCACTTGAGCCACTCCTCCAGTCCCTGTTCATTTTTTAAGACAGGGTCTCCCTAAGTGGCCCAGGCTAGCCTCAAGCTCCCTCTCCTCAGTCCTCTGCTTCCTGAGTGCAGGGTGCCAGGCGTTGAGCGCAGGGGGCGGTGCTAGGGCTGTGGGCGTGGCCAACGCGAGAGGATATTCTAGAGAGGGGCGTGGCTGTGGCGAGGGGCGGGGCATGCAGAGCAGGCCTGCTCCCCAAGGCTCTCTCCTAGTTCTCCTGGGGCTAGCTGGGCTGCAATGGCGGCACGTGCGGCCGTCACCGCGAGGGGTGGCGGGTGACTTGGTGGCTGTCCCCACAGAGTCTGTGTCTATGCCAGGGCGCCCCGTGGCTCCAGGCCGTACAGAACCCGGCCAGGTGAGGGGTGAGAGCTGCAGGACTGAGGTCAGGGGACACGTGAGAGCCCTGACCAGGACTGGTGGAAGGAAAGCAAGACAGGTGAAGGCTGGGGGCGACCAGGACAAGAGAGGCCCCTGTACAGGTGAGAGGAGAGGTGTGGGAGAGCCAGCCAGATGAGAGGTGAGGACAAGAACACAGAGGGAGAGGGTCCAGGATGGCCTGGGGGGATGCCAGCGTGGGAGGATCTGGGGATGGATTGATGTTGGGCCAGGGTCCTTCGGCAGGGCCTGTCAGGGCGGAGGCTGTCCCTCCTCTGCCCACTGGAGATGGTGGTGTTTTTATGTGCACAAAGTGATGGGGTCCTTGGAGTCACAAGGCTGATGGAAGCTTCTCTGGTCCACCAGCCTATAATCAGCTGCCCCAAGTAGATTGAGGGCGACTCTGGGAAGCCTTCCCTAAGTGTCCCCCTTCTTCACCTGGGGGCAGGTGTTTCCACCGGGCGTCTACCACCTCATTCATGATGGGGGGGTGTGGTGATGCACTTCTGGAATCCCAGAAACCGGGAGTCTGAGGGAAGAGGATCTGGAGTTTGAAGCCAGCCTACCTACATAGCAAGACGTTTATTTATTTGTATTTTTGCGGCACTGGTGCTTGAGCCACTCCACCAGACCTTTTTTGTGATGAGATTTTTCGAGGTAGGGTCTCACAAGCTAGTTGCCCGAGACTGGCTTTGAACCACGATCCTCCTGATCTCTGCCTCCCAAGTAGCTAGGATTACAGGCATGAGCCACCAGTGCCTGACAAAAGACCCTATGAAAAAAAACAAAACAAAACTGGTATTTATCCAGCACCTGTTTTGTGCCAGGAATCTTTATGTACTGGCATCCAAACAACAAATTAAAAAAAAAAAAAAAGTCAAGTGAGTGAGGTGGCTCAAGTCTGTAATCCTGACTACTAGGAAAGTGGAGATGGGGAGGATCATGGTTTAAGGTCAGGCCAGACAAACAGTTCTTGAGACACCATCTCAATCAGTGGCTGGGCACCGTGGTACTCAAGGAAACACAAACGGAGTGATTATGGTCTAGGCCTGATCAAGCATAAAGTGAGACCCTATCTCAAAAATAACCAATGCAAAAAGAGCTGGTGGAGTGGCTCAAAAGGTAAAGCACTTGCCTAACAAGTGTGTGGCCCTGAGTTCAAACCCCAGAGCTGCCAAAAAAAAAAAAAAAATCCCTCCCCTCAAGGAACTTATGTTCTAGTAAGGAGAGATGTGTGTAAATGAAATAAAGTATATGACATGTCAATGGTGCGGAGAGTTAAGGAGAAAAATCAGGGAAGGAGGACAGGGACTCTTGGGGCTGTACAAGCTCCTTTTGGGGTGAGTACTAGGTACTAAACCCAGGGCCTCTCATATGCTAAGTACGTTCTTTATCAAGCTACACCCCTGGCGTCCAACTTCCAGTTTCTTTGTAGGGTGGTCAAAGAAGGTCTCACTGAAGTGACAATGAAAGTGGACCTGAAGGAGGTGAGAAGGGAGGGAACCACAGGGATAACTGAAAGCAGGAGATTGAGAGTAAATATAAAGCCAGTGCAAAGGCCCTGGGGTAGGGGACACTGGTTGTTGGAGAAGCAGGAAGGTGACCACTGAGGCTTTATTAGAGGGAGAGGGAGGGGGCAGTAGGAGATGGGAGCTAAGATGCCTTTTCAGGGCTGACCATGGGGAGCCTGGTAGGTTATTGTGGCGACTGTCACATTTACTGACTGAGGGACTATGGGAGGGTTGTGAGTAGAAGAGAGAGGTAATCCCGAAGCAGGTAAGGGTGGAAATAGGGGTCAGAAAAGAGACTCTTGCAATTTCCAAGCAAGAGGTGGTGGCAACTTTGACTTGTGTATAGCCCTAGAAATGGGAGAGAAAGTTCTCAGATTTTCCTTCCAAAGATAGAGCGGACAAGATTTACAGGAGATGAGCGCAAAGTTTTCACCCTGGTTTAACCTGAAGCCTGGTTAAACTCACTTCTTAGTCCTTGTAGCTTTTTTTCTTGGGGTTCTTTCTGGAATGCATCTGTGAATGGAAAAGGAAGTTTTGGCACTTCCTTTTCTGAATTCCTTTTTCTTGTCATATTGCACTAGCATCTCCAGTATGTTGAAGAGAATGGTAAAAGCAAATAAATGCTAGTTCATCTTGCCCTGATCCTGATCTTAGGGGGCAGCATTCAATCTTTATTGATTCCATATCCCCCGTCCCCCGGTCTGGAGATCTAACACAGGGCCTCCCCCATGCACAAGCACTCCACCTCTGAGCTGCACCCCCAGTGTGGCTCGGCCTTTAGCCATTAGCTGCAATGTTAGCAGTGAGTTTGGTTCTTTAGTCATTCGTTACTTTGTTCAGGTAGATGCCCTTTGTTTGCTTTTGTTTGTTTGTTTTGTTTTTTGGTGAGACCAGTGTTTGAACTCAGGTCTTTGCACTGGCAAAACAGGTGCTGCACCACGTGAGCCACACCTCCAGTCTATTTTGCTCCAGTTATTTTAGAGATGGGGTCTCCTGAACTATTTGCCCAGGCTGGCCTGCAACCACAATCCTCCCATTCTCAGCCTCCCAAGTAGCTAGGATTACAGGTGTGAACCACTGGCTTCTGACGGTTTTTGGTTTTTTGAGACAGGACCCAGGCTGGTCCTGAACTAAGGTCCTCCTGCATCAGCCTCCCAAGTGCTGGAATTACAGGCTGCATCAGCCACAGAGTTGAGGTGCCTTTTACAACGTTGGGAAGGTCTCTTTTTTTCCTTTTTTTTTTTTTTTTTTTTGGCAGTACTGGGGTTTGAACTCAGGACCTTGAGCTGGATAAACAGGAAGGTCCTTTCTATACCTGGTTTCCTGAATGTGTTCATGAACAG